ACGATATTATTGTCATTGTAAGATAAGGCTGGCTGGCTGTGCTGTCATCAAGGAGTATTGTCGAACATGAGCTGTATTGTTGACTGAAACGCACAGTAGATACTTGAAGGGGAAGGGAAATATAAGTTAAACTTATCAAAGTTTTCTTTGTTAAAATGTGAAATGACAAAGCACTGAGATATTTCTTACACTCCATGAACTGCCTGAGTGCGGCATCATGTGCACTCTACAGAGAACCCATTGCAGGCTCTTAACTTCCAGAGACGATGTTTAAGATACGGGTTATAAAATGCTGCCCTTAATACGGTACCTGTCGTCAAACCTAACAAGGATTTTATGAATTCCCTTTAAAAATCATGAGAAGTTTAAAGTAAGATTTTTTTTTCTACAGCAAAATAAAGCAGCCGAGAATTTCTATTTCTATGATTTATTTACTATGGTAAAATGTAATGCATTAAATAATACTGGTACAAGAGCATTTTATTGCAGTGAATACAAGACTAATGCATTTACTAAATTACTCATCCTAAATGTATTATTTCAGGCGATATTGTGACAAAACAAGTGTTTCAGATTCAGAGGCTCTATTTGCCAGGGCTGCTAGGCCACCAACAAGTGAGGAAGCCATAGGTTTCTCTAGTCCTATTTTCTTATGTGGAGGATAAAAAGAGTATCACTTAAATATTCTCTCACACCCTGAAAACAGATGACAACTTAAAAAATTTAACTTTCACTTCATGTTTAAATAAGACTGCCATGACATGACTCAAATGAGACTCTCAGAGAATACTTTCTATTCATTTCAAAACTTGATCAATTTCAATCTATAAATCATCTGACCTGCACCTAGCCATTTTCCTGCTCTAGCCCTGCTCTCTCCCTAGAATACTGCTTTTCTCTTTCCTTGCTTCAGCAAGCTTGACTCCATCTACCCTCTTGGATCTCTTTGTCGGCAGCCACACCAAAAAATGTTTTTTTGTTCACTGATTACTCAAAGTCACCACTGTTTACAAGATACGAATTCTTGCAGAGTATTCCCCTTATGAGAAAGTACGCCTCTCCATAAGAGTACGGGAGGGCCCTACTCTTCCTACCTCCAGCTGCTGAGCATAGAATTTTGAGTAACTCCAAAACTTCGACAAGTGTTTGACAATTTAGTTATCATTTGGAAGATAAGTCTTACTACATTTAATTACAGCAAAAACACTACTAACAGTTTACTGTTTATAGGTATTATTTAAAGTAGTTACAAAATAGAAACAAATAATCTAACGTCAGTCAGCATAAATCAGAGTATGAAATTGTACGCTCTTTAATAAGAAATGGAAGGGGTTACTTAGTAGTTTCAAGGTTTAATGACAAAAACTAGAAAATAATTGTACCTAGTACTTTAGTAAGTCAAAATCAAAATCAAAGGTCCAGTACCCGTTGGACGCCAAGGCCCACCGCCGCCTTCAGCTGTACCTGCTGCCTCTCATTTTAACCCATTAAAAATACTAATGTTGTTTTCCTTGTAGAGGTCTTTCACCTCCGTGGTTAGGTCTATTCCTAAGTATTTTATTTTATTTTATTTTGCAGCTATCATAAAAGGGGCAGAGTTCTTGGTTTGATTCTAAGCTTGGTTGCTGTTGGGGTATAATACAGCTACTGATTTGTGTACATTAATTTTGTCTCCTGAAATTTTGCTGAATTCATTTATCAGTTCTAGGAGCTTTTGGGAAGAGTCTTTAGGGTTTCCTAGGTATATGATCATATATCATCAGCAAACAGCAACAGTTTGACTTCCTCTTTACCGATCTGGATGCCTTTTATTGCTTTCTCTTGTGTGATTGATCTGGCTACGCCTTCCAGTATTATGTTGAATAGAAGTGGTGAGAGTGACTGCTGCAAACCTTAGTTACGTCCTAGGAAAAAGAATACTTCCTAAAATAAAACTAAGGTATCATCCTTACCCTTCTCTTTGTCTCACCCAGAAATATGATGGGGGAATTACCTGCCCTAACCCCTTCCTCAAGAAATATATTACTGTACTCTGGAATTTAGACAAAACCTTAAATCTCCAGGCTTTTTAAAGCACAAAATATAAATAAAAGCTGGGAAAGTAAACCAAAATTCTTCAGATTGTTCCTCATGAATATCCCCCTTCCTCTGCAATTCCCCAGAGTGGTAACGGATGGGTAGAGGCAGCTCAGGTGAATTACCCAGCTTGCCTCTCAACTCATTCCTCCTCTTCCTCTCAAAGGCTGAAGGCAGGGCCTTTCCAGTCCTCATGACCTGCCCTTCACCTAGTCCCTCCTGACCTAGGGATGGAGGCTTTGAGTCCCACAGTGTGGTGATACAGAGCACTAGTTGTCACTGTCTGGCTTTATTTAAAGGAAATGCAGTAGGCTTCCTCTGTAGAGCTCTGAAAAGGTTGACTGCACAGAAGTCTTCTATGTTTTTACTTGGTCAAGTGTTTCTTACATCTTTTGTTATCAGAGTACCATTCCAATCTCTTGCAGTTGTGTGGAAAATTGTTTTGTAATGAAAGATCTTCACTGGGGGATTGAGCAGCATTTAATAAAGTCTATGTTTGTTAAAAAAAAAAAAAAAAAGAGGGGGTGGGAGGGGGCATCCTTGTCTTGTTCCAGTTCTCAGGGGAAATGCTTTCAATTTTTCCCCATTCAGTATTATGTTGGCTGTGGGTTTGTCATAGATGGCTTTTATTACATTGAGGTATGACCCTTGTATGCTGATCTTGCTGAGGGTTTTAATCATAGAAGGATGCTGCATTCTGTCAAATGCTTTTTCTGTGTCTATTGAGATGATCATGTGATTTTTTGTTTTTAATTCTGTTTATGTGGTGTATCACATTCATTGACTTGTGTATGTTAATCCATCCCTGCATCCCTGGTATGAAACCCATTTGATCATGGTGGATTATTATTATTATTTTTGAGATGGAGTCTCCCTCTATCACCCAGGCTGGAATGTGCAGTAGGGTAATCTTGGCTCACTGCAACCTCCACCTCCCAGGTTCAAGCTATTCTCCTGCCTCAGCCTCCTGAGTAGCTGGGATTACAGGCATGCACCATCATGCCCGGGTAATTTTTGTATTTTTAGTAGAGACAGGGTTTCACCATGTTGGCCAGGCTGTTCTCAAACTCGTGACCTCGTGATCCGCCCGCCTCGGCCTCCCAAAGTGCTAGGATTAAAGGCGTGAGCTACCGCGCCAGGTTGGAGTATTTTTTTGATATGCTGTTGGGAACTACAAAACATTGCTGGATGAAATCATGGACATAAACAAATGGAAAGACATCCCATGCTCATGAATGTGTAGAATGAATATTGTGAAAATGACCATACTGCCAAAAGCAATCTACAAATTCAACACAATTCCCATCCCAAACCATATATCTCAGGTTTAAGCCATGGTATCTCTGAGCCAGAAAAACCTCACAGTGAGAAATATCAGTTAACAGAAAGTCCTGCTTCCAAATAAAGCAGACCAGGGACCGCCACACATTGGAGAGAAGCCTCCAACAGAAGAGATCAAAACAACAGAAAAAAGGAATTCATGAGAGCAGTGAAAACCAGGAGAAAAACTTAAAAAAAAATCTTAAAACACTCTCAAAAAATATAAAATTCCATAGAAATAGTAGAGGATAAAATGACAGAATATCCCAGAAGTAGAAAAACTGAAAAAAATAGAAGGGGAAAAATTAAGAACCAATGCCTGTATACTGGTCTAAGCAGCCTAGCATCTGAATAACAAGACTACTAGTAAAAAAGTAACAGAGAAAATAAAAAATTCTCAAGAAGAGATAGTTCGCAGGTTTAGCAGCCTCAATAAAATGAAAAGATCCCCACCAAGCTGTGACTGCTTTTTTTTTGTTTTGAGATGGAGTCTCTCTCTATTGCCCAGGTGGAGTACAGTAGTGCAATCTCAGCTCACTGCAACCTCTGCCTCCTCGGTTCAAGTGATTCTCCTACCTCAGCCTCCCAAGTAGCTGGGACTACAGGTGTGCACCACCACTCCTGGTTAGTTTTTCTATTTTTAGTAGAGATGGTGTTTCAGCATATTGGCCAGGCTGGTCTTGAACTCCTGATCTCGTGATCCACCCACCTCAGCCTCCCAAAGTGCTGAGATTACAGGCGTGAGCCACCGCGCCCAGCTCCCACCAAGCTGTTATTATAAAATTTCAGCACCTCAGAGTTATAGAAGATCCTAAAAAGCTTCCATAGATACCTAAAACCTGGTTGTAAATAATGTGTCACACACTGGCAATAGATTCAAGAACAACACTGTAATAAGAGCACAACTGCAAAATGTCTTCAGAACCATAAAATATAGATTGAACCTAGAGGTGTCCTCTCTGTCAAAGAGGAGGGATTTTAAGACTGGTCAGCTCTCTAAACATCTCCACCCAGGAAAATGTGTTCAAGTACAACTAGAGAGGATAACAGGACAGAAGGAAAATCAGGGACTCAGGGACAGAATCAGGGACTCAGGCAATCCCACACAAGACAGCAGTTATATGAGATCCCAAAAGACTTTAAGGAGATAGCACAGAAAAGCAGACATCGAGCCTATCTAGGGAAAGCCACTCCATACTGAACTAGGATGACAAAAGGCAAAAGAAAGTTGCCCTCCGACAAAGAAAAAAAGGAACAAATGTGTTTTCACAGACAGAAAATGTCTTTGAAAGGCATGTGATAAATGCTACAACACTTGGGGGAAAACAGCTATAGGAATATAGTCAGAAAATTAGCTTCACGCTAAAAAATAATGGATGTGAAAGCAAACAGACCACCCAGAGGCTACTTATTATATTTGGATGGATAAACTAACATCAGCTAGGAAAAAAGGGAAGATCCAGGAGAATTGCGGAAGTGCTCAGATTTCAGAATTGTTTCAGAGACAGGGTGAAGGACATGTAATGCAGAGGCACAGTGAAAACACCATATGACTTAGCAGTGAATAATATTTGCAGTCATAATCATATAAATATTACTGATTTAGTAAAACTTGTGCTACAATTGGAAGAAAAGGAGGGAGAAAAATAAGATCATGGTGTAGTGAGGAAGGTATGCTTTTACCTGCTGTGATAGAAAGTCAAAAGACAGTGCTGGCAATTAACTTAGCTATTCTAGTTTTGTTATTTCATTAAAAATAAGATTAAATATTTAAGGCAGTTTTTTTTTCTTTTCTTTTCTTTTTATTTATTTATTTTTTTTTTGAGACAGAGTTTCACTCTCTGGCCCAGGCTGGAGTGCAATGGCGCCATCTTAGCTCACTGCAACCTCCGCCTCCCGGGTTCAAGTAATTCTCCTGCCGCAGCCTCCTGAGTAGCTGAGATTACAGGCATGCACCACCGCGACCGGCTAATTTTGTATTTTTAGTAGAGACAGAATTTCACCATGTTGGTCATGGTTGTCTCAAACTCCTGACCTCAGATGATCTGTCCACCTTGGCCTCCTAAAGTGCTGGGATTACAGGCGTGAGCCACGATGCCCAGTCTTAAGGCAGATCTTTTTATCACAACCAGACTATTGAAATTTAACTTAAATATCAGAAATCTTTAAAAGATGGACACACTAAGCTAAAGACTTTTCTGGATAAATTTAATACTTAGGAAAATAGAAGAGATTTAGAAAATCCACAAAAAGAGGTCCATGCTATCGCCAGTGGGTCCACATTGTAATCTAAAGAAATCAAGAGAGACAACTGTTATGTCAAACTATCAATTTCGTAACTATTTGACTGTTTACTTACATGGTTTGTACAATTGCTTCTTCTTATTTCTACAACTAAGAATAAAAAAAACCAAACTGGTCACTTCTGATACAAATACCATAAAATAAAAGTAGCTGTTAACATCTTACTGATTACTCCTATGTAAAATGAGACAAAATTCCATTTAAAATATTATTTTCAATAATTTATAATTTAAATTATCTGGCACAATTAATGTCATAAAGTCAAATCTAAAAACTTAGTTTTTCATCTACTTTACCTTTTGTTTCTATTACATACAAATGAAAGAATCGTCATGTACAAAAGATAAGGGCAAAAAAAATTAGGCCAGATGAAAAATTTAGCTAATAAAGAGTTGAACTGTTGTATATATGAGCCATGATCCATTAGTATTCTCTCATTCGGTATTTACACATAGCTTACTTTAATTATCAGAAGCTAAGCGCTAACAGCTCTAAGAACTACTTCCTGACCAGGCACCTATCTCTAGATGCAACAGAATCCCTGTGAGCATCTTGAACCACACTTAGTGGTTATCTACTAATATGTCACTAAAAACAAAACCGAAAAAAAAGGGTCTTTACACAACTGGAAAGTAACCTGTCTTAAATTTTTTTTTTTTTTTTTTTTTTTTTTTTTTTTTTTTTTTTTTTGAGATGGAGTCTCACTCTGTCACCTAGGCTGGAAGGCAGTGGTGGGATCTCAGCTCACTGCAATCTCTCTGCCTCCCAGGTTCAAGCAATTCTCCAGCCTTAGCCTCCCAACTAGCTGGGACTACAGGCACGTGCCACCATGCCTAGCTTATATATATATATATATTTTTGGATTTTTAGTAGAGATGAGGTTACACTGCATTAGCCAGGATGGTCTTGATCTCCTAACCTTGTGATCCACCCACCTC